CGACAAAGAGGCCAAAGAGTATGGCATTGAGACCATCCCTACCATGGTGTTCTTTGAAAAGGGTATCCCACATATTTATGAAGGTGATTTGATGAAGGAAGAAGAGCTTCTTGGATGGTTGCTGCATCAGAAACGGCACAGTGAAATCCCTGAAGTCACGGACGAAATGATGGACAAACTCATCGAAACAACTCCTTATTTGGCGGTTATTTTCTGTAAGTCGTTATTTATAACATTATCTTCAAATTAATAAAAAAACATAGTTACATTTTATAACGAATATTTAACCTAATATTTATTAATAAAAAATATTGCAATTAAATATTTCATTTGGTAAATAATTTTACAGATGACAAAGACGACAAGCAAGACATCAGGATCCTCAATGAACTTGAGAACATCGACGATGAATTAGAGAAAGAAGGCATCGTTATTGTGCGTATGGACAACGATGCAGAAGCCAAAGAATACGGCATAGATCATCTGCCCACGCTGGTCTACTTCGAGGAGCACATCCCGGCGATATACGAAGGCGACCTCATGAACGAAGACGAAGTGCTGGAATGGCTGATCGAACAGAAGAACAGCGCGACCATCGAGGAAGTCACCGATGAGATATTAGTCGATCTTATTGAAGAGCACGAATATGTTGTCGTGTATTTCAGTGAGTTGTTTGGTTATTATAGTTATTCTCATACGTAGCATCTATCCACGCAATTCGGTGAGCGCGTGATTTGCCAGCCACATTAAAACTCTAAGAACACCCATCTATTCAACAAATTAAAAAGGGCATAGGCTTAATAATAGGTTTGATTTAAAACAGTCGAGCTCTCGACTTCAACCTAACGTTGAAGATCCGTCGTATCCATCTTTTTCAATCTTTTTTTTTTTTTTTTTTTTTTTTTTTTTTTTTTTTTTTTTTTTTTTTTTTTTTTTTTTTAATGATTGAAAGTTTACTGGTGGCCCGAAGGCCTTTCCAGTTTCACCAGGACAGGTGGGCGAGCAAAGGCTCAGCCAAGAGGGGTGGGATTTGCTAACAACTGCCCGAGCGCCTCCGAAGGAGACCTAACAACTCAAGAGCAATTGTTTCGCGAATGAATCTACTACCGGATCGGAATCGCGACCCGCTGAGAAGANAGGTGGGGCGGCCCCGGGTCTTGAAAACACTCGCCTTGCGGCGAGGCCCCAACTTCTCGGACCTGAGCGGTTCTATTGAACACAGGTGGCAATGCGGCGCGATTACTACAGGACAAAGAAAAAGCACAACAAAACAGAAATTACGAAAAGAAACAAAACAAATAAATACTTGCAGGAAACCACTTTGTCGGCAGATGTACCACGAACAGAGAAACAACAAAAGGAAACAAAACAAATAAAAACTTCCAGAAAGAGCACTTAGTCGGCAGATGTACCACAAACACAGGCCGCGCGAACAATGGCCGGGCTAACAAAAGCCGGGCGAACAAAGACCGGGCGATCGAGTGGACGATGAGCACGTCCGCACGTGACGGGTGCCTCTATCGGAATGGTTTTTCAATCGTAAATGGTTCTAATGTATGACAAATATTAACGCAAATACTTAAGGTATGAGTTAAATGTTTCATTTAAAAAAATGTGACGTGTGTGACGAAGCATGTTGCGGATAATAACATGTACTTTTAGGTTAGGAATATTGTGTTCTTTTTTTTTTTTTATAATAAATAAATATCAATGTAGTTTAAAAAATATGTGACTAAAATTAAATTTGTGACATTTCGTCCTGTTAGTCACAAGTGTCAGCCAACAAGTGTCTTTTTTCCGGATATCAGTCCTTTATTTGGTTTAGGTCTGCCTAACGTGGACCCTACTAAAAAAATGAAGAAGATTCAATTCTAGATAAGTAAATAGTTAATGTTTTATTTATTTATTTAAGGCGGTAACTGCGAGGAAGGCGAGGAATGCGACAACATCTTGGATGAACTGGAGAATATCGACGACGAGCTTGATGAGACCGGCATTATCTTCGTGACCACCGAGGACACCAGCTTAGCCAAGAAATACGGCATCAAGACGTTCCCGACCCTCGTGTTCTTCAGGAACAAGGATCCGTTAGTCTACAAAGGTGAACCGTTTATATGTCTATAAGCTCTCGGGATCACCATGTACATTACACATATGTATTATTCAAATCCTTTAAACCCACAACGGAACTAAATTATGGAAAGCAAACTTTTAACCTTCTAACTTCTTCGATATTTTGTTTTGTTCACATCTATGGCGAAGTCAATATCAGACTATAAGGTAATAAGGTAATTACCTATTTAAATAGTTCACACTAAAGAAACTGGATAAAAATGAAGCAACTATGAATTTATAAGCTTTACGAATAGACAAAAATTCAATTTGTAAATTAGCATAACTGAGCTATCCCATTTACTTCTATAAGACACACTACAAAACAAATGATTAAAATATAGCTACTGATAGATAAATGGTAAGTGATTCATACAAAATCTACACATAACAGAGACTTGAAAAACTTTTCTATTAACGTTTGTTTTTCTTAATTTCTTTTCATGAAACAGGTGACATCGAAGACGAAGATGAAGTATTGGCGTGGTTAACCGACGAGAACACATTGGAAATTCCTGGCAAAATTGAAGAGGTCAATTCTAAAATGCTTGAAAAGATTCTAGAAGAGAACGATCACGTCGTTGTATTCTTCTGTAAGTTTCTTATTACAGTTTGTGAGATCTCATCCACAATAAATATGTACTAGATGATGACCGAGCTTTGCCCGGTTTTTTTTTTTGATAACGCCATCTTTTTGTGTCTTTAAAGCGGTTAGTTGCCCTCAATTAAGAAAAATAGTAATTCGCCAATAGATTTCGGGAAGAGTTGATTATTGAAAACACGAATAAAACAAAATTTTCTGAAAATAAGTCGTAGGTAGATCGATTTATCGCCCCCGAAATCCCCTGTATACTATATTTTATGAAAATCGTTGGAGCCGTTTCCGAGATTCAGATTATATATATATATATATTAATATACAAGAATTGCTCGTTTAAAGGTATAAGATTTGTTTGTTCGTAATCTATATGCTCGAATCTCTTTCATTCGATTTTATCTTTCTTAATTCTCAGTCCAATTCTTACATTGCACGCTATTAGTAGAGCGTGTTCTGAGCCCGCATGGCTTGGTACCGCAATCTCAATTATTTAATTAGCACAGTAATGATGCTCTTCTACTCAATAAGCTCTGTCCGCTGTACCTCGACGCTTCCGGCTTCTGGACGGACAGCAACCCTTGCTTCCCAAAAAAAAAAAATTCAGTAAAAAGAGCTCTAAAAGATAAACCAAATATATCTGAATTAAATGAACGTCATTTCTTCTTCACAGACAAAGAAGGTGACAAGAAGTCTCAAAAGATTCTAAGCGAATTGGAAAACATTGACGACGAGTGTGAAGAAAAAGACATCGACTTTGTCAAGACATCAGACAACGGCATCGACAAGGAATACGACCTCCCAGAATTACCAGCCTTGGCTTTCTACAGGCACAAGTTCAGGACCATCTACGAAGGAGACTTGATGCACGAAGAAGCTATCTTAAAGTGGGTTTTAGATCTGCACGACTCACAACCGGATATCATTGAAAACGTAGACAGGAAAACTCTGAAGAACCTAATCAATGATGTTGAACATTTGGCCGTTTTCTTCTGTAAGTTCTTATTTGCTTGTGTACCTTTTAAATTAATTATTGTGAGCAGGAACAAAAATTTTGTACAGGTAATATCCATAAAACGATAGTTAAGACAGTAAATAAACGCGACAGAAAGAAACTTAAAATATTAAGATTTTTTTTCAAGGAAAAGTTTTTATTTATCATACATTTAAACTAACTAATCTATAGCGATGCGTCGCCGCCAACATTCGGTTTGACCCACCGCTTTAGATGTGCACATCAAAACTGTATGTACATACACGCACACCAAAACTTTGCCAAAAATTGAAAGATTTGTAAAATCTTGTAGTTTTTTATTTTATTGCTTAGATGTGTGGACGAGCTCACAGCCCACCTGGTGTTAAGTGGTTACTGGAGCCCATAGACATCTATAACGTAAATGCGCCACACACCTTGAGATATAGTTCTAAGGTCTCAGTATTGTCACAACGGCTAACCCACCTTTCAAACAGAAACGCATTACTGCTTCACGGCAGAAATAGGCGGGGCGGTGGTACCTACCCGTGCAGACTCACAAGAGATCCTACCACCAGTCAAAATCGTGAACATCCTTTTGGTTTTGAATGATTTTTATCCTTCTTTCTTTGGCGAACTAATAAGAAAATGAACCTTAGATCTTTAAGTTAACAAAGTAACCAATTAGTAAGTTGTATTTCTCACTTACAGACAGTGAAGACTGTGACACGTGCGACGACATCCTGGTGGAGCTGGAGACTATTGATGACGACACTGACAAGCACGGCATCCAATTCGTAAAGTCAAAGGATTCTAAGCTAGCTACCGATATAGGAATATTCAGTTTCCCGGCTTTGGTTTATTACGAAACTGGTGTTCCGATTATGTACGATGGTAAGGATTCCACCGACAGGGAGTCGAACGGTTCAGTCTCCTGGTCCACCTCTGACCCTGAGATGAACCTTTCGGCGGAGACTGGCCACGCGTCGAATGTTATAAAATTTACTCAAATTATCAGCTCAGATTTGGCAAACCGTTAACAGTGTATTAATATTGTTAATGGTTTGATCAACAATTAAGTTTGGTTTGCTCATATGCCAAGCTAAACTGACCGATATGTGTTTACATGTTTTAATAACACCATGTTCTATTTATAGGTGACTTAAAGAACGAAAATAAGGTTCTCCAGTGGCTTGTAGATCAAAAAAGTAAGAACCCACATCCGCATAGTAAAATAATTATTTAATTTAGCAATAAAATACGTGCATGACATCATTCTCTGTTGACTTTACGATAGTAATAAACAAACTGTTATTTATGCCTAAGTGCTGGATGTTTGAGCTGTGTCATTTTGCATGACAGTTACTAATGCCTGCAGGTGAAGATAGCAACAGACGTAAAAATAAAGCTAGTATTCAATCGAAGACCAATGCAGATGATGATAGACCTTCGGGGCATCGGCGCACGAGCGAGCACGATACCGCCCACGCTTCGCAACATGTGAGGCGCGAGCGTCACCAACACTTGGCCGCTGACAGGAGTGCGCCTTCCGGAACCGATAAAGCACTGAGAACTGCCTCTCGAAAACAGAGCAAAGCTAATGGTGATGAAGACAACGGGGACCACAGTGATAAGATTGAACTTCAAACTGCACACGTAAAGGAAACTGAGAAGAAAACTAATAGCTTTTATTATAGTTTCTTCGAGGACGACGATGATGATGATGATGATGATGATGAAGATGATGAGGAATATGACGACAGTGATGATGACAGTTTCTTTGCTCGCATAAAACGAATGTTCACAGGTAACGAATATACCGAGTAGCACTGGCCCCGAGAGATGAGCCCCGCACGGAGATGCCCCGCCGTCACATCTGCATGGTCGATATGTTGTCCGCATGGAACCCACACTTCACTCTAGCTATCGCCTGCAGTCATTCGCGCTTACCGAGTTTAAATGTTTTCAATTCTTGTACTTACTAACAAACTATTTAGACTTAATGGCGCTTCAGTAATAGCGCGCAAATTATAATCCCAAAATATGCACAGTATTAACTATCAGATAACTTATATATTTGTCGTGTAAATACGGGTTGTAAACAAAGATTTTATTGACTGCAGGCGATCGCTGTTTCTACATTGGATTGGGGGCGAAACCGGCCGTCCCAAAAATGACTTACGAACCATACCAGTGCTGTCCCACTAAAGTTCAGAGCCCGACTAAAGTAGCCAAGGCCACGCCGACCAAGGTGCCACCCAAGAAACTGGAGAAACAAGAAAAGGGAAAACCCAAACAGCAGGAAAAGGAAAAAGAAAAGCCGTCTAAAGGGAAAAATAAGGCACTCGCCAAGCCCGACAAACCTTCTAAAGGGAAAAAAGGTGTAGTGGAAGAGGACAATATTTGGTGGTGGTAGAGACAGAGCTATCATGGATGTTGTAATTGAGTTCGATGAAACCCAAGATGCTAGAGATAAGGAAAAATTGCCTTTAAAATCAAAATGACATCAGGATTGTGTTACTTCACTGAATTTAAAATCGACAATAGTCACGCTTACTGCGACCTCTCTTACAACATCCATACTAGAGCTACAGTCACGTCAGTGGAAGAATGGGCTGTGCACGCGAGGCATCAAGTGGACACGAATGTTATCTTAATCCTAGTTTGTGTCCCCTCTCAACCTTTTCACCGCTCTATAGAAATTAGTTCATTCTAACTTTGCATCGAAAAATTGTTGTTGTAATAACATAACTAGCTTCTCGAATAACCTCGTGTCCCTTGAACCCCTGCGAGCACCCAGCAGGGTTGTCGTTACACTGCAGAGGGACTGTTTCAACAATGGCTTCTGCCGGCTATATTGTGTAGATGCACTCCGAATTAAATTTGTCGAAAAATCGTCTTAAATACCAATAACATTTGATCGAGTGAAGGCTCAATATTGGAATAGTGATTTTAGGATCTGCTGTACAAATCGTTAATTGATTGTAAATTGATTCCAATATTTAGAATTTTAATATCGAACGATGCAAAACCCAAACCTGTGGGCATTTTATCTTGTATTTTGCCGTGTCATCTTGAAAGACTTATGATTGTTGTAAGGATTTCATGTTCATATAGTTTTCTAGTCTTCATTGAATTTCATTATTGTAATTATTATCTTAACGTTTAAATGGAGTCTTCAAAGAGAAAACGGTTTAATTTCAGGCAAAATAGATTAAGAATTTTTGAAAAGCTCAGAGCCGTATTTCAGAATTATTATGAATTACTTGAGTAACAATTAATTACCATTTTTATTTTTTATAATTAATTATAATTTTTAAATGCTGCACACGATCACAAAAGCGGTTCGTTTCCATGTTACCGTGTTGCTTTAGACTCGTTTGTTTTTTTTCCTTCCTAAGCTGATAGCCTTGAGAGGCTATGTCAGCGTAACCTTAACGTGTAGGTGAGCTCTCGGGGCTCAAAACCAGGAGGCGTCGCTAACAGTGGCCCTAGCAAGAGCAATGCTTCGCAGAATCTACCGCCGGATCGGAAACGCGATACACTGAGAAGATCCGGCGAGAAACTCAGTGGGCTGTGTTGGCTATGGGTTAGTTTACTCGCCGAACCCTTCGTCGTAATCGACGGGTTCGGCGAGTACGGTGACTGGATCGTGGCTTAGTGACCGTGTGCAGCGTCGACCGGGACAGTGCCGGCGCCGTGAGACTGTCGTCTCGATGTGTAAGTTGCGTTGTGTGATCGGTAATCCGCATGGATGTTTATAAATTATATATATATGTTTCGTTGTATTTTTGAGTCGGCGCTGTAACTTTTTTTTGTTAAATAAATGCATTTTTCTATAAAAATTGTCATTAATGAATTCCGAGACGAATGATGTCAGCATGCTGATGGCGTACTAGTTATACCCGCGCATGAATTTTGTCGGATTTGGATCGGTGAGTCTCTTCATTTCCAATGGATGTGGTTTCTTATGAATGTGATTGAATAGTAAAACTTTCAGCTGAAGATAATTATGAAAACTTTTTAGGAGATCTTTTGGACGAATCTGAGGTACTCGACTGGATGGTGAAACAAAAAGAAGATGAAAGCATCGAAGAAATAGACAGAGATGAATTGTTCAAATATATCGAAACGAAAGAGTTTTTAGCCGTTATATTTTGTAAGTGATTTCAATATAAGTTTGTTCTTGGGCAATGTCCGATCACGACAGTTCTGTCAATATCATCATGCAGTAGTCAATATAAATGCCGTTTGATTATGCTGTGTTCAAAAATCAACAAAATTCTGGGTTTGGTTTATTCTTGTGTTTATAACTGATTTTATTTGATCCATTGCGTGGATAGCCTCATTACATAGTTATCTAAAGACAAAAGTAATATATGAAAAATGCACGCGCGGTAGAACTCAGTGCAATGCTATTTCGTTCTGTGGTTAGCTAAATCCTATATATTACGTACTTATTTATATGTTTCTCCTTTTACACTTTTTTTTCGTTTCGTCACGTTTTAAATCACAACGGTGCTAAAGAATGCACTACGAAAATATCTTCGGTTTGATCTGACATTTTAAAATAATCCCAATCCTTTTTGTACCGGGTGTAAGACAACCGATCCTGAAGACAAAGACAGACCTGAAAACAAAGCTAGCCCTGGTGAACATTGATTCAAAAGCGTAATAAAAAAATCGTTGCTGTTTTGTTGTGTTAGCTGGATGGACGAGCTCATAGCCCGCATGGTGTTAAATGGTTACTGGAGCCCATAGACATCTACAACGTAAATGCGCCACCCACCTTGAGATATAAGTTCTAAGTTCTCAGTATAATTACAACGGCTGCCCCGCCCTTCAAACCGAAACGCATTACTGCTTCACGGCAGAAATAGGTAAGGCGGTATTACCTACCCGTGCGGACTCACAAGAGGTCCTGCCACCAGTCCTACCACCCTTCGCTCATGCACTATAGGTAAATTAGCTGAGATCGCATCTGCGTTTCTACGATCTTGTACGAAGCAGTCTAACGTCATCTGCTTCCGTTTTACATAATTCAGTATGAGCAACTGAGCTTAGCTAACGAATATTTTTAGTGCATAATTTATATCAGGAGCGATTGAATTCCTCCCTGTAAAATAAATAGACAGCATTACCTATATTGCTGTTACGTAAATACTAAACGGTAAATTGTAACGGTCTCTTCAAATCAACTTAGATAAAGAAGACGACCCAGAAAGCCCAAGAGTTCTGAGGCACGTGGAGCTGATTGATGACGAAGCGGCTCAGTACGGTATCAAAATCGCAAAATGCAGCGACAAATTGATGGCCAAGAAATACGGCTTCCGCAATCCGCCGGGCATTACCTATTTCAGAAAAACTAAATACATTAATTACGATGGCGACATTGACGATGAAGAAGAGATATTGGACTGGCTGACGAATCCAGAAAACATGGAGCTGACTGATCACATCGAGAAAGTTAATAGGAAAATGTTTCAGAAGATAAGACAAACGTCGGATTACGTTGCTGTGTTCTTTTGTGAGTGTGCAACATTTTTTATTTATTTTTTAATTGCGTAGATGTAATTTCCGATCTACCTCGTGAAAATTGGTCATCGGAGTCCATATTTCAACGTGAGTACTTTTATTAGGAATAGGAATTAAGTTTAAGTTCTATTCGAGGTATAAAGAAAATAATTATTTGGGTATGCATTTTTGAAGTGAAAACTTCTTTAGAATCGTTGTTATTTCAAACCGGATGCAACGGAAAAAACGACAGGTAAGAGACACAAATACAAAAATGTGTAGGATGAAGCCAGCAAAGAATGAGACAGAAATATACATACTATTTAATACAGCGCCATCTGTGAGATTTTTTAATACTAACGTGTGTATGAAAGCTCTTGTAGTGAATTTTAATTTAGGATTATACGTGAAATTAAAATACCAATTCACAGAGGGCGCTACCTTACAATTATTTACTAATGACAAAATTTTACATATACTTAAGACGTTTAGGATAATTGTTTTAATTTTGGAAGGTTTCACTTCTACCACGTGTGAATTGCACACATTTTGTTTTTTTATTATGATTTTTTTATTGATAAAAAAAACTACTTTACAAAGTTATCAACTTTATTTTATTCATAATGATTTTTATAAAATATATTATAATGATAATATACAAAGAAACAGCTATTTATATAAATAATAATAATAATCATCATCACGTAGACTATACAATAGACACTGTATAGTCATCATACTAAGACTATACATAAATAATAAAAATCTTACGTTACGGACGCTTTTTCCCGGTTAGGGTACCCCTTCGCATCGTCCTATAAGAAACTTCGTTCCAAAAAACTTTTAAATCTTAAAAGCAAATAAACATGAGCCTGTATTGCACATACCACATGTTTTAGACAGTAATGACTGCAAGCAATGCCCTAGAGTGCTGGCCGAGATAGAGCATATCGATGACGACGCTGACGCTGCAGGAATCAACTTTGTGAAGATCGACGACAGACAAATGGCCAAAGAGCACGGCGTGTTCGCGCTGCCGGCCGTCCTGTTCTTCAAGCTGGGCTCCAAGGATCCTGTTATATACGCTGGTAATGATCACCTCATGTTCATAGATGGAGCAGCGACCTTAAGCAACCGTTCGTTCATTGAATAGTACGAGCTCACAGTTTATACTATGTATGTAACATAAATGAAAGTACATAGTTGTTGAACGTCAAAAAGTCTGTCCTAATACTGCCCTGCCTCTACCCTAATACTGTCTTTTTTATTTAGTGTACTTTAAGGTACTTTAATTTGAAGGTGACCTATACGACGAGCAGCAACTGTTGAGTTGGTTGTTGACCCAAAAAAATCCAGCCGGAGACGTGATCGAGGCTCTCGAAGGTCAGGAGCTACTCGATTTGATACAAGAGTCAACATCATTGGCGGTTTACTTCTGTAAGTACCAATAGAAAAAATAAATACTGCACACTTCTACTCTACACGCATTTACATTTTAACACAACGCTAAATTTCCAACGTTAAGTGCTTAATTCTAAAACGACACTGATCTACTGGTGGTATACCTGTTGAGACCTCACTCGAGTCGTTATCTCTGTCATGCCTATTTTTGACGCGACACAATAATCATCAGTCCAAAGTAACATATGGATTTTCACCCCAAAACGACTCGAGGTGGCTTTTTCTCGTTGCTAATTTTTATGAGTTTCGGCAAGAGACTTTACCTGTTAGCGCTTCTAATCTAAATCTAAAAAGGCTAGTAACAATAAGATCTAATGCACACCGTATTTTGATTTTCAATTAATTTTAAATTGCGCAATGTGTATGGCTTTCGAAACAAACGAATAAGGTCGTGTTAATAAAATCCACAGAACAAAAAAATGTACAAAGTACGCGGGATCCAGTACAGTCGCTTGGCTTGTCTACGCCACACAGACGCAGAGTCACGTTAATTAATGTTTAACTAAGATAGCATATTCACCAACCGAACAACTCGAAGTCAATGCTGGTCGAATACCTAAACCCATGGGACATCGCGCCACGGATGCCGCTCCCAACCTTCAGACATATAATCGATATCTCAACTGCATTGGTACAGCGATGGTTCAAGCGGAGCACCAAGATGTTTCCCAGCAAAGAAGATAGTAGTGACCACCTGTGGGGCCGGTGACGTGCCCTGCCCTCAAATGTTAGAAAGTAATATTATGCTTATTAATCATTACTTTTAATAGGGAACAAAACGATGTGCGAAATATGCAATTATAGAGCTATGAGAAAATTGAAAAAGAAAGAGAGGGAACTTCATGAGGATGAAGGACTGGAAACAGAGGGTACATCTATCCCCCTTGGAATGTCTTCACGTTTACTAGATGTAGTCTCTTCAACTCCTGCATGTTGCATGGACTGCACTAGACTATCATTTATTGGAACTGTTATATCCTCCTCTAAATTTAGTATTAGTGCATTTAGAATCCCACAAAAAATATTTTTATGAATTTTTTTCATAGTGGCACCAAGCTTAAATGCGTTTTCGTTATTGAGAAAAAAACGTTAAATAAAAAAGGTTTCTACTTCACGTTAAGTTAAAAGCCACAAGTACTTGAAATAAGCCGTAAAGAGTTTTGCGTTAGGTGGCGACTTGGCTGCACTGTTGGCATTACTGTTTTCAATTCACGACGGCAAGCATTTACGTATGTACGGGCTGTGTTCTCGTCGGCCCCCGATGTCAATATTATAAGTGAGTTAATTGGTCACAAAAACAAATTAAATTGATTTCATTTAGAAAACACTGAAACAGTGCTTCCGCCACTTGTATTAACTCACAGATTTTCGTAACACTATAACTGGCAATAGATCTGGAACTTCCAGACGGTCCTGACTGCGAGCAGTGCGCCGGCATCTTGGAGGAACTGGAGAACATCGATGACGACTGCGACAGACACGGCATTAAGTTCGTT